TGAACTCAATTTCGGAGGGCAACTTTTTAATTATGTTCCAAAATATTTCTAGTAAAATATGTCATAAAAGTTTATCATTCTCCTCAGAAGCATAGCTCGCTTCTAAGTGCCTGAATGTTTTTGGCACGCTTGCAAAGGGCTCTCTCTGAGAAGGAGCACAAAAGCTGAAAACAGTTATTTTAACAATGCTTTCGCACTGTTTCGCAATGCTTTTAAAAGTCCTTATTTGAGAACATGAGTTTTTGGCCATAAATAGGAGACTGAGTCCTTCACTCTGTTCTATAGTATCTATAACCAATCAAGCAGAAGAATCCTATTACCACTTGAACACACTGAGATCTGACTTAAAACTAATAAACCAAGAAAACACTAAGTAAAACATGTTTCTTACACTAGACAACAAGAGTCTAGCCTCACAGCAAAAATATATGTGAAAAAGACTTAGGGATAAAAATAACTAAAAGAAAAGAACTGGTGATTCGAAAATAGCCATAGGTCAAAAAAAAAAAAAAAACCTAAAGAAACATCAACAATCTGCTTCAAAAAGAGAAATAAGCAAGTGGTTTTCTTTTTTTACTTGTGTTTGTTTTACAGAAAGATCCCTTGTAAATAAAGGATTTGGGTTTTTTGAGGGACAATGGGAGGCAGACCACAGGACTAAACAGTTTGGTAACTGTTTAAGTGAGCCAAAAGTTAAATAAAAAAGAAGAAACAACAACAACAAAAAAACACCCAGATGCCAAAGCACTGGCTGATCTCATTAGCTCTGCTTAAGAAACTTTATAGATGTGACTTCACTCCTGGATTACACGTCTATATTTAGTTTATACCTAATATGGATAAAGTCCCGAACTAACAGCCATTTCCTTTCTCCACAAAAAGAAACTTCCTTGCTTTTTTTCTATCAACAATGCAAAGATTAGTAGTGTAGGCTCCTCTGAAGGGAGAGGTTAAACACACACACACACACACACACACACACACACACACAATTAACAACTTAGTACTTTTTTTTTAACTTGGACTGCTTTGACACTTCTAAATTGGAAAAAACTTCTAAAATCAAATATGTGATGGTCAAGTTAAGTTCCTTAACAAGTTTATAAATAACCCTTTAAAGACTTTATAAAATACTAATTAACCAAGCCCAAAAATGCACAGAGGTGAGGTAATGGAAATTTTACAGTTTCCTTTCCAATGTGACCAAAAACTGAAAGCAACCAAACTCATTTAAAGAACCATCAAGACTCATTGGTTGTTAGCATGTTTTAGAAATATCCTTAAACAATCTGATTTATTTATTTTGCAGGATGACTGAAAAGAGCAAATAGTAACTCTGGTAGATAACATTCAACTTTCAATAGAGAAAAAGAATATAAACAAGATAAGACAACAACTCTTAGTGGTTAAGAGTTAGGCTCCAAGTCACAAAGACCTTGGTGCGAATTCCAATACTGCTACTTACTAGCCCCACGACCACACACAAGCAACCTCTCCAAGCTTCAATGTAGTACTGATAGCACCTATTTCAGAGTTTATATGAGGATTAAATTGGCTAACATATGTAAAGGGCTTGGCACATACGTTCTGGTGCCTGGACCATACTGTGCACTTACTAATATTACCTTATGATTATTACTCTAACTTTAACAGAAAAGCAAAAAACCTACTGCTCATTTTTATATATCAGTGTACTCTATCTTATATAGGAATAAATTAAGTAGTTTCAAAAAGCTTATAACATTATTATAAAAGGAAGGCTTTTAAAGTTACATTATGGTCCTAGACAGTTTGGGTCAGTGGATAGAGCATCAGCCTGAGGGTCCCAAGTTCGATTCCAGTCAAGGGCACATGCCCGGGTTATGGGCTCGATCCCCAGTAGGGAGCGTGCGTGAGGCAGCTGATCAATGAGTCTCCCTCATCATTGATGTTTCATTCTCCCTCTCCCTTCCTCTCTGAAATCAATAAAAATATATTTAAAGAGCCCTAGCTGGTTTGGCTCAGTGGATAGAGCATCAGCCTGCGGACTGAAGGGCTCCGGGTTTGGTTCCAGTCAAGGGCACATGCCCGAAGAGAAAAAAAAAAAAAAGCACATGCCTGGGTTATGGGCTCGATCCAGTAGTTTAAAAAAAGCACATGCCCCAGTGGGAGGCATGGAAATAAGTGAAATATATATGCCAAAATCCGTAATTCAAAAGAACTTCTGTGAAACCTACCTATATGCCATAGATTATTCTTTACCTCTTTTGGGCTCTCACAAAAAGTCAGGGGATGCTGGGGGTGGGGGAGGAGTTGGAAAGAAAAGAGACAAGGAAAACATTCCTACTGAAATGAACTCTCAGCTTTAGCTACAAGTCCAGAAAGAGTTGCTGAGGCAGATGGTCTAAGACGGCAGAGTCCAATCTAACTATCCTTTAGTTACCTAGTACATGTCAGCTGGATCATGGTTCACTGACGTTAATTCAGGGATAAATTCAAGTCTAATCTTGGAAATTTTCTGCACTAAACCTGCTCTTCTGATAAAAAAAAAAAAATGGAAACCCCACCTATTGTAGGGACAGCCTGGCAGATGCTTCTCTTAGTAACATCCTGGAGATTGGAACCACATATACTGAATATATAAAGTAATGTGGGCCAATACATTCTTAACTCAGCATTCCAAAGGCCCATGGAAGAATAATAAGGCAATGCTCGCTATGTGTCAAACGCTAAGAACTTTTCTCATGTAGCTACTATTACCCCAGTGGAGACACGAAAGCAGCTAGGGAAAGGTAGAACCAGGATTGAAACACTGTACATGGCTCCAGAAACCATGCTCTTCACCATTACACTATGACATGACACTAATATCCACTCTTCCAAATCACAACTCAACTGCCTACTTGAAATATTAATTCTAACCATCGTCAACTCTGAAATAGACCACTTAGTGCCTTCCATGGGGAACACAAATGATATTTCAAGTCAACAACCATTCCCTGGGTGTGACTTTTGAATCTTTTTACAAGCAATACCAAAGCAACCCCATAATGTAGCATTGGGGTCCCTGCTGAGTCTTCAGGACAAAGACTGCAGCTCTTCATCCTAGCGGCAGTCGACATACCTAGAGCCAGATCATAGTTGTGGATTCTCCATTTGATCTTTTTTGCAAGGGGAAAAAAAGTAATTATGTTCATTTCAATCTAAAATAAGAGTCGTTTTGAGGCACTAAATCAAAACAGCAATTATGAACTGAACCCATTGATTTGCATTATACTCTCAGCCTATTTCTCTGGCTTCTTGTATGAATATTTCTATGAATTTAATGAGCATTTGCTTTTCCCCAAATATTTTATTTATTTTCCCACCAGCCGCCTCTGGAACCAGCCCTGTGAAAAGGGGGTGAGGGAAGCTTCTGTGTACTCCTTCAGCAAACATTTTATTAAAGAACAATCAAATGAGTTAATACAAGTATCGCACTTAACACAGTGCCTGGTACATAGCAAGCACTCCATAAATGTTTATGTTATTTTAATTAACTATGAAATACTCTTCTATATATTTCTTCTATCTTCTGCATTTGGGAAATGCAACAAAAATATAAGTCAGTGGGAATAAGCATCAATTCTAAATATACGTACATAAACCAGATCTTCCAGTCAGTGAATTATGACTCGTGGAAAATATTTTCCTTTCTAACATGATGGTGTATAGTGTTTCTTCCAAAATTATAGTTCTTATGGCTCATACTTTTAAAAAAAAAATGCCTTCCCTTGACAGGTATCCCCTTCCAGCTACCAACCTGTCTCTTCTAATTAGCCAAGTTTCCTGTTAGAGTCGGTTTTGCACAGTGGCTCTACTCTCACTTCCACACACTCTACTATGGCTTTGCCCACACCACTCCAAAGCTATTACTAGTAAGGTTACCAATGCTTCCAGGCTGATAAATCAAATAGATACTCATCTTTCTTGACACAACTGGTCACTCCTTCCTTCTTAAAACTCTCTCATAAGAGTGAATGGCACTTCACTCATAAGTTTTCATCTTCCCATTCATTACTGCTTTATTGCAATTCCCCCTTGTTCTCCTTTGTCAGCTTCTCCTCCATTACCCAACCCCTAAGTATTGAAAGTCCCTCAGAATTTGGTCCTGGGCATTCTCCCTACTCTTCACTCATCCACACTTTAAATACTATATATCAAGTCCTAAATTTCTTTTTGTCCATGAGATCTGTATATCCAACTTTCTAGGAGACATCACCTGACATCTCCATCATGTCAAACTCAAGTCAAAAACTGAAAATTCTATCCTCCCCTCCATATTAATAAAAAGCATCTTCATCAACCAGTGATTCTAATTAGAAACCTAAGTCATTTCTCACACTTCTCTCTCTCAATCAACTCCTTCAATATATTCCTAGTGACCCCTCCTTCAAAATTTATCTCAAATCCATTCTCTTCTCTCCATCATCACCCTAATCCAAGCCACCATCGTCTTTCTTGATTGCAATGGCCTTCAATTAGTTTTCAATGTTTCTATTCTTGCCTCTCTTTAATTCATTTTCCAGAGTGGTCAGACTAATCTTAAAATGCAAATCAAACCATGACACTCCCTTCCCTAAACCTTGTTGAGAACTGCTCTTTATACTAAGGATAAAATTCACATGACATACAAGGACCTCCATGATGCAGCCCATCTATTTACTCACTATACACCTCACTTTTGTTCTCTATTCCAGGCACACTCTCAATTTGTTGAATTTATCTCCAGCTTTATATATGCCAATTCCTCCAGCCTGGAATGCTCTACCCCTCATTTTTCTATAATACTACTCGTCATACATGTAATTTCTCAGAAGCCCCCACGGAGCTTCCATCTAGATTGAGATTCCTCTCATTCTTTCTCAAGATGCCTTGTTCTTGCCCTTAATGTAATTATATACTGTCTTTATGTATTTCTTTAACATAAGCCGCTCTTACTAAACAACAGGTTCCGGGAGCTCTTTTTTCTTCCCCCTGTCCCCGCAAAAAATTTGCACCAAAGTAAAGCAGAGCTCTAGTTGATAGGAGTGTGTTACTTAGGCGTTAGTAGTACTGGCTTCACTACATGCTCACTGGACAGTAGTGCAACCCCAAGAAAAAGATAGTTTCATGCGTTCTTACCACATTCAAATTTAACATGTCAAAAACTAAACTTCTGATCTCCCCCCATTAGAACTAGTTCTTCCCAATCTTCCCATCTCAGTTAATGGCAATTCCATTATTCTCGTTGTTCAGAACAAAAAAATCTCAGAATCACTTTTGACTCCTTTCTCTCACATTCCACATTCAATCCATCAAAATAAATATATCTCCATCTTATAAATACATCCAGAATCAGACCACTTTTCACCTTAGTCCAAGCCACCATCATTTCATGCATGAATTAATAAATAGCCTCCTGCCCCAACTGGTTTGGCTCAGTGGATAGAGTGTCGGCCTGCGGACTGAAGGGTCCCAGGTTCGATTCCAGTCAAGGGCATGTACCTTGGTTGCGGGCACATCCCCAGTAGGGGGTGTGCAGGAGGCAGCTGATCCACGTTTCTCTCTCATTGATGTTTCTAACTCTCTGTCTCTCTCCTTTCCTCTCTGTAAAAAAATCAATAAAATATATTAAAAAATAAAAATAAAATAAAAAAATAAATAGCCTCCTAATTAGTCTCCCTGCTTCTGTCCTTACCTTCCTATGTGCTGTTCCCTATAAGGCTACCAGAATGTCGTTAAACAGAAAACAGCACCCCCTATCATTCTCTATACTCCTTATCCTGCTTCATTTTTCTTCAGAGCACTTATCATTAGTAGATATACATTTATTGTTTATCTCCCATAATTCAGTAAGAACACCATAATGTTCATTGATATATCCAAGCCACTAGAACAATGCCTCAATATTGGTTAAATGATTGCATGAAAGAAGTACAAATATTATTCTAGCAAGCAGAAATTGGAGGTGGGGGGAGAGGTTGAAGCCAAAAACATTTCAAATAACGGAAACACCAGCAACAATCTTCCATGAAGGCAGAAAAATACAGGGCATGAAGTAAATTTGTAGCTGCAGTGGGGGGGACAAACCTGGAAACATAATTTGGGATCATAATCTGAAAGACTCTAAATGCCTGATAAAGGAGTTTGTATCTAATTCAATAAAGAATTAGAGAAAGCAGGATCCATTTAAGATTTGAGACAAGAAGTATCCATCTTATTTTTAATAAATTAAAAATTTATTAAAATTACAGAATATGACACAATTATTGAGGGAAAAAATAAAGGTTTTTATAAAGATGGTGCAGAGCCATCCTCTTTTTGAAAATATATGTATTGATTTGAGAGAGAGAGGAGGAAAGGAGGGAGGAAGGGGGAGGAAGAGAGAGAGAGAGAGAGAAACATTTGTTATTCCACTTATGTATGCATTCATTAGTTACTTCTTATATGTACCCTGACCAGAGAGTGAACCTGCAACCTTGGATGATGCTCTAACCAACTGAGCTACCTGACCAGGGCCTTGAAAGTTTCTTTAAACAACTGATAAAACACCATACTTATAGATTCGGTAATACAAACTACCCTCCATCTGCTAGCATACAACAGGGGTCCTCAAACTTTTTAAACAGGGGGCCAGTTCACTGTCCCTCAGGCCGTTGGAGGGCCAGACTATAGTTAAAAAAAAAAACTATGAACAAATTCCTATGCACACTGCACATATCTTATTTTGAAGTAAAAAAACAAAACGGGAACAAATACAATATTTGTATTTGCATGTGGCCCGCGGCCCGTAGTTTGAGGACCCCTGGCATACAATGTAAACATTTCGCTCATTTCTAAGTCAATTATCTTATTTAGGTTGCCACATAAATAATTTCTTATGGACTTAATTCAACTGGATTTTAAAAAGCACATGAGACGAAGTCACTGTATCATATAGGAAAAAAGCCATCATACATGATGGCTCATTTACTTACTTTCTGGCTACTCATTAGGCTATTGTGAGCTTCTTGAAGACAAGGGACCTGTTCTTGTTCCTTTCTCTTCCCAGCACTCAGTGCGCAGAAAGTATTAAATGTTTGTTTCTATTATGATCCCTATACTGCAATCAACTGTTCCCAGGCAAGGTTGTATCTTATATACACCAACTATAAAATGGTCATCTCTTACCTACTACATAGCTATTAAAGGGGACAATTAATACTAAAAAATAATTTGTATTTTCAGAACAGATTTCTCCTATAAGCAAAAAAGAAGGGCATACCTTCAAACCATTTAATAAATATCTATAATATGAGCAATTCTACGTGTTGGCAGATTTCACAACATAAAAGCTTGCTTTCTTCCAGCAAAGATTAAACAGGGCCCAGTCAGCGTGGCTCAGTGGTTGAGCGTCGACCTATGAACCGGGAGGTCACAGTTCGATTCCTGGACAGGGCACATGCCTGGGTGGCGGGTTCAATCCCCAGTGTGGGGCATGTAGGAGGCAGCCAATCAATGATTCTCTCTCATCATTGATGTTTCTATCTCTCTCCCTCTACCTTCCTGTCTGAAATCAATAAAAATATTTAAAAAATAATAATTCATGCAAGTTTATAAAGAAGACAAGGATATATAACAAAATGGTAACAGCAGCCACTTCTAGAAGGAAGGTTTTAAGTGATTTTTATTATATTTGTGCTTTTCTGTGTTTCCTAAGCTGTCTACAGTGAACGTATAACTTTTTTAATTGGAAAAAAAACATTTTTAAAAGAGCATAATACATGCAAATGAATATACTAGGAAGCAAAAGGAAACAAAATTGTTTTTCAAATTTAGGGCCAATATTTAAGCTAAGACAGACTTAGGTTAGCTACCACTTATGCTAAGCCATTTTTTTAAGTATATTTGTAATCAAGACTCCTCCTGACAATTACAAAATGTAAATGAAGGCTGTTATTCAGGATTAACAACAATTTCTACATGATTTAATGAAGAATCAACAACCCCTAATTTTTAAACCAAAATTTTAGATTCCTGTGTTAACTAAAATATGCTGTGACCTAGAACATCAAATAATATAAAACTTCACAGTCTTCAAGTTTATGTCTGAAATTTTTTAAATATATTTTTACTGATTTCAGAGAGGAAGGGAGAGGGCGAGAAAGATAGAAACATCAATGAAGAGAATCACTGATCGGCTGCCTTCTGCACGCCCCCCACTGGGGATCGAGCCCGCAACAAGGGCATGTGCCCTTCACCAGAATCAAACCTGGGACCCTTCAGTCCACAGGCCAACGCTCTATCCACTGAGCCAAACCAGCTAGGGCTGTTTAAAAATTTTTTAAATTATTTTTTTAATTTATTGATTTCAGGGAGGGAGGAAGGGAGGGAAAGGAACATCAATTTTGTTGTTCTACTTATTTATGCATTCATTGGTTAATTCTTGTATGTGCCCTGATTGGGGGAGCAAGGGGGATCGAACCTGCAACCTTGGCATATCAGGACAATACTTGAACCAACTGAGCACCCCTCCAGGGCTAACAATTTTTCAATTTAGTCTTGGATATATATATGTTCAAAGCCAAATTTTCATTTAAATAGCAAGCTTCTTTTTTCTTTTTTTTTTTTAATTTGAGAGAGAGAAACATTGACATGAGAGAGATACATGGATGGGAGGGGATCAAATCCACAACCTCGTCATGCGCCCTGACTGGGAATCAAGCTGAGATCTTCTGGTGCACGGGATGATGCTCCAAACAACTGAGCCACACCAGCCAGGGCACCACCTTCTTTTTCTCCCGATTAGTCTATGTAGTCTGGTCTCACAGCTACCACTCCTCCATTTTCCCAAGTAGCACAACAGACTGATTTGGCTGTCTTTAGTTTTTAATGAACTTTCACCCTGGTAATCTACCATCTGGTCTCCATGTCCAAAATAAAGTAGTTAAAGAAGGAAAACATGCACAGAACTCACACAGTTTTATAAGTTAATTACCTCTGCTTTCAATGAATTGTTTGATATTGTATTCTCCAAAGTTTGCTCAGATTCTTTTTTTCTTCTCTCATACAACCAATAAATAGCTATGCTAGATGGTGGTAAATTTCAATACTTAGATTATTACAGATAACTGACATTTTTACAATTCTATTATAGTGAAAACTAAATCTTTTTCATGAAAAGGAATTATTTCACATGTAAAGTTAGAAGTAATAAATTTATTACAAAAAAAGGGGGGGAATCTATTGAGACAAAATATATGTTTGATGAACATGGCCTTGCTTCTAAAATCGTTACTTCTTCAAAACATTACCGTTAAAATTTAAGATCCTCTTAGTCCATCTTTGGCATAACTATCAGATATAGTCTTATTTATCTACACTAAGTTGTTATTTTCATAAATTTAGACTAATATAGTCTCCTGGCTTTATATTTTAAATAAAGGAAAGTAACAAACCAAATAAGGCAAATGGATATCCTTTGTACCAATACTTGGTACTGAGCACTGAGGGATAAAAGCCAAGTCTCAAAAAAAGGACAACAGGATTAAAAGTTCCAAGAGAGCCCTGGCCAGTGTGGCTCAGTTGGTTGAGCATCGTCCCACCAAAAGGTGGCTGGTTCAATTCCCGGTCAGGGCACATGCCCAGGTTGTGGGCTCAAGACAGCTGATTGATGTTTCATTCCCTCCCTCTCTCCCTCTCTCTCTCTCAAATCAATAAAAACATATTTAAAAAAATAAAGGTTCCAAGAGAATTCACAAACCAATGCCCTAAATTAAATTTAGATTTCTGTTAAGTCATAGTTGGATGATTTGTAATCATGGCCTAAATGTCATTTTCCTCCAGAAACTCCCTTTCCACTCTGTACAACAGCCTCTAAAACAGGCACACCCATCCCAACTTACTCCCTTACTTGATCGAAATCTTAATTCCTGTCTTAATCACACTTGCCATCCTGCCTAACACATTTCCCTTTTATGGACTCACTGATTCCCTATTTAGGAGACACCAGTGAGCCTCCACAGCTCTAATGAAACAGGAAGGGGGAAAGTCTTGCTCATCATCCTTTAACTTACTTCCAAGCAACTCTGCAAGCATCCCTCCAAACCACATGTGACTTTCAGTGACAGCCAGGCCCTCTTTTCTAA